ATAAGTGTCGGTACTTTGTATCATTTATTTTCTAATTAAGGAAAACCATGCATGAGATTAAAGATAAATCCATATGGATCACTGTAAGAGCCTTCTTCAATACCAAGCAACAAAGGAAAACAACATAATGGCTAGGACTGGACAGAAAAAAGTCCTTTATCTGCATATAATTATGGATCTAACACAACAGATTCATTGGCAATGTCTGCAAGAACTGACAATGTCTAAAAGTATGTGCTATTTTTCTTCAACAGGCTTTTTTCAACTTCTCCAAATAGGTACAACAACGCAAGTTGCCCTTATAAATAGCCATGCTGTTTTTCAAATATATGGGGATTTCCTATTATTTATGTCTAGATTTACCCGAACTTTTAATCCTTAATATCCAAAGTTCTCAGTCATTAAAATATCTTGTTTTTGTGTGCACAAAAAAATCTTCCATTTTTTCTAACCTGCTTTTTCAAATATACAGGGAGTCCATAATTCTTCATTCTATAGCAGTAATGTTCAGAACGAAGCATATTTCCAGACATTTGGTTTTATATACATTAGTGATGTTTTAGTGCAGCCCCATACCACAAAGGTCAAGAGTATCACATTTGTAAAACATCAGATGCAAATATTCATGTTATAGAACTTTTGAACAGTTTTATCCTTGACAGCAAGCAGGCTGGGAACAATTAAATTTCACATAGAGACTTACTAACAGTAAGTTAGTCTTATTGAGGTCAAATACTGGTAAAAGTATAGCAGGTCACAATGAGCTAACTGCAAGTTAGCCACGCAAACACATTCTTCACAATATCACACTCAGCAATCGGCAAGTCTGAGACCAAAATAAACAATGCAGAATTCATCCTTTATGTCCCAACAAAGAAAAAGTTAAAAAGAGAGTACACGCTATTATTTGTTTCACAGCAGCCTCAAAGAATGTCCCAGAGGAGATAATTTCATTTGAGGACTAATATATGGAGGGCCAGACATTGCACACATTTCTTAAAGAGAATATCGTTATTCGTGCAGCTGAGAGGAAAAAAATGACAATGAAGCCATTAAATCCCAACTTAACATTTCCAAAATTGACTTCTGAAGCCATGATCACGTTCATATCCACAGCTTATTGAAATTACTTATGAATAGAAAGTCCTGAGGACATGAAAAGTACACTGATTTTATATGTATACCTGTATTTATGTAATAAAAATGTGAAACTTATTAATAACTTGTTGATCAAATATTGCATTTGTGATATACATATGTATACAAAGAAGGAATTACTCATAAGAAAATGTAGTACCGAATATGCTGAAGAAATCAAAGCATTCAGAAGTTGTCAGAAGGTCTGCTTTCGTGCAAATTCATAGATTTCCACAACTTAAAAGTCCTCTAGTAAATAACATTGCAACACTCCTGCAACATTAAAACTGCATAAATCTCTCATGAATTTTTATTTCAATGAGTTTGCATCACTACAATTAATAACTAATCATGATTAAGTCTAGTCATCTAGGCTACCAAGGACAGCATTACTAAATAAGAACATCTGGAGGTTTTTGTCTACCTAAACAGAGAAACTTCTCTGAAAATCAGATTTATTGTTCCTAGCTAGCATGTAGCTCTTCTTCAAATATAAAAGAATCATAGACAATTTGCTGAGATCACGTGCTAAATTTTAAGCAGTTATCAGGTGAGGAAAATCCCACCATTGCTCACTACAACCTTCCTTTAGTGTTAATGTATAGTAAACAAACAAACAAAGCACACACCTTGTTCTCTGAAAAGGCATATTCAGGTCAAGTGTTTTGTCTCTTCATCTGTCAGGCTCGTACAGCAACATTTTCAAGCTCACCAGGCAGACATATCTGCAATCTTTTGAACTAACTTTGTATCACGCCGCTTTACTATGGTAATGATCAGGTAGTACACCTGCAGTCCAGATGGATTTCAGCTAACCTAAAGAGTACCTGGTAAATTTTAAAGTCTAAAGCATAGGTATTATGCTTTAAGATCCTAAACATATCTTGTAAAAGATATGACATACTGCTGACATACAGAAAGCACATAGCTTGGTTACACACATGCAAGTCTTTAACTGATGTGAACTTCAGCATTACATTCCCTAACTTAATACTATTTTTGTTTATCTATGACCAAACATTTACATAAATGGTCTCCTACTACTATTTACTCTTTTAAAAATGCATTTGTTTTTATCAAAGCAGTCTTAACCAGATTTTGATTTGCTCATAAAGGTTTTTATATGACACATGCTGAGTGAAGGAACAGAACACGAGGAATAAATCTATGTGTACTCACTTTTATTTATGATACATGATATTTTACTACTGATTTAAATCTTTTCACAATTACTCTTTCTCTACAGGGTGCATTTTCAATGTGAGATATTAGCCACTCTGATTTTACTATTTAACCTTTAACTTGCCATGAAGCCCCACTACATCTAAGGAAAACTTAAAGGTAGGACTGATGTTTGTGGGAATGAGATTAAAAAAAGCGCAGGTGAGTTGCTCTGTTCCTTAACAAAAACAGGTTTATACTACAATTTCACTAAAGGATAAAACTATTCATTTCATGAGTGGCAGAATGGAGAGAAAAGCTGGGAGAGAGAGCTATAGTGATTTCAAAAGGGTCATGTGAGTCAGGTCTAGATGTGTGATAGCTGTTTCTGTAAACAATATAGGAATTCTGCAAATGTCTTATCCTCATTTTGGTGTATAAGCAACTATTACCATTTTTCATACAGCAACAAGCAATGCAATAAGTAATTTCCTTCCACTATCGTGGTAGTTGCATATTTCACTTCCACAGAAACTATAGGCGAGTGTTGTCAGATACATGTACTCTTACTGACAAAACAGAAATCTGGCCTTTCCACTGAATACTACATCTTTTCATGTTGAAAAATATCAGATATACTCTATCATAATAGCAGTCATCCCTTAGGAAAGAACAGAGTTCTAACAAAAAGCAAATTCTTCCAACTAACTACATCATCCTTTTATCTGGGACTTGAAAAATTTCCAAACAACAATATAATCAATTTAAAAACGAAGGTATCTTTGCTACACTAAATACAAATGTGGCGATTTTAGTTTTTTTTTTTTTTTTTTTTTTAAGAAAAAATGGTCGAAGTTTAGCTGGTTCTTTCATTCTTAATTAAGCTTAATACAAATTCAGAACAGTTTTTAGCTACATTTAAGATTTTTACCAATTTACATCTGCATTTTCTTGAAATAACTGAAGCAATTTTTATTACAAAGACACAGATAGCTAAAGTCCCATTTATTTAAATAAGGTCAGACTTTCAGCTTTTGATGCTTATGTTATTTCATCTTTGTACATCTTTCTTCGTAAGTGTTAGGCATAGGGCAAATGATGTCAGTGGAATAAAGCATAGATGGAATTGGCATTAACACTGTTTGCTGTTGTTTACCCTAAAATACAGTATGGTTATGTGAAAATAAAAACATAATGAGAAGAGACTGTGGAACTACATGAATTCATTCTCATAATAGTGACTATAATATTAATGGGACTGTGCAAACACAACCTATCTTGTTGCAATTTAAGAAATTTAATAGTATGGCCATTCCCAGTTGCAATTTGCTTTTCTTCTTACTGTTTTAAGTAAATTCATACATTTTGTAAACTAAAAAAAAAAAAAAAAAAAAGACAACACATCTCATACTGATCACTTCTTATCTCCCTGTCACTATATAATTTGTGAATTAACAGATACATAATAAAACCTCTGTAAAACCTAAAACTCAGTACTGATGTTCCATTTCCAGTTCCTGATTTTTTTTTTCCACAGATACGAAGGACAAGAAAAATCAATAGAAGTAGTCAGTGTAGATTCAACAATAAGAAGTATGTTTGACCAATTTGTTAAATGCCTACAATTGAACAACTGGCTTGGCATATGAGAAAAGTATAGTGGATTTCATCCTACTTGACTTCATGTATCCCATAAGATCCTCAGAGAGAAGCTGATCAAGCATTGCTGGATGAATGTAGTGAATTGAACACTACTTAAATAGCTGGACCCATAGAATGGTGATCAGCAACAGAATCTAGTTGGACAGTGTTGTACCTCAGAAGTCAACGCTGTATACAAATCTGTTCATCACTGTCAAACATGACCAAATAAACTATTATTTATGTATCCATGAAACAGGGATATCTTATAGGGTTTAAATAATGCCAGATTAAAGTATGAGGCTCTGTATGAAGAAGATTAAGCTAAATTTGAAGATGCTTTCTGCTGCGGCCCAGGAACAGAATATGATTTACATCAGTCAGTACTCTGGCTTTCTGTAGCAGCAAGAAGTGACAACATGACATTTTTAGTAACACTGCAAAAGTAGCAAATGTATTCAAATAAAAGGGAGGCTTTAGGTCTTGAGGCGGAATCATAAATAAAACAAGGACAAGATGCTGTTTGATCACATTGATTGTACTTCAAAACCATTATTTCTCAAAGCAAATAAGATGTCTGTGTCAGTCTCCTGCAGTTTTACTGCAGTGGGTTCTTTTTTGTTGCTTGATGTTTAAAAAAATTGTTGGACTGTAACTAAATCCCAGATAATGTATGTTGACCCTACAAAATCTATCCATACATAACACAAAGATATTTGATTTAATTCAGTCTTCATTTGCTACAACCCTCAATTTCTGAAATAATCATCCACAGTTTTTCCCCCGTTGTTAAGAGTAATTCAAGGGGCAGAGAAAATCTAGCCAAGCTGAGTAATTCTTCAGTAGCTCTGTAGTTACGTCACTGTCAGCAACCCAGCCAGCAATTTCAGTGCTAGCTTTGGTTTTTTATGGTCAAGAGGTGTATTAATATCTTTGAGCAGAAAATGTACTATTACTCAGGTTTCACAGAATATGAATGTACTCATTACCATATATGTATCTCTTCTTGGTCGCCTTAGGAGCAAGCAGAATCTTTCCCTTATTAGGCCCAATTTTGTCTTACATTTAACTCTATTGGAGTCAACTGACTCGATGCTGCTCCTAAAATTACCATTGCAGTTGTTTTTAACCTGGCATCTTCAAATTAATTCTACAGGAGGGAACAGGTAAGCATCTACGATGTTAAACATTAAGCTGGGGGTCCACTGATGTTCCCCACAGGGAAGTTTTCTGATACTCTCTTCCTACCTCTGTATTAAGTAGAAACCTATAAATTAAAAATATAGTAAACAATTGAAACTAATTTGAGTGTTTCTGCAGCCCAAAGGATATACCTGTGTTACTAAGCTAAATGGTTTCAAGTGAGCACTGCAGTCTATCATTCATACTGCTAAATCATCAGAATAGTTTCTGGCATGCTTGTGGACTTGGTGTCTTCTCAGAAGCATCCAAATGCATGTCTTAGGTGGTAGCAAAGGGAACAATATGCAGGAGACAATCTTGCTTTTGAACCTAAGAAAGTTTACTTACATATGTGAGCTGCTCTCCGATTTTTAGCCTCAGTGCCACAAAATGGCCCTCGTGAGCATGTTTCATTTCTTGATATGGATAAAGTGACAACGATTTGTATGGAAGACAACTAATAATTTCCCATCAAGCTATCATTAAGAATGCATCACCCACATTATATCAATTTTTGAGAACATCTAAAAACACTTTTTCTCACATGGCTGCCAGGCATACACCTAAAGGACATCAGTACCATATCTAGAAGTGATACTGAAGTATCACTAACGAAGACAGATAAATACAATCAAAAGGAATTCTTAGCAATTCTGAATAAGTGAACAATCATAATTAGATACTGATGATGTGATATCATGATTGAAAAATTTATCTTTGTGGTAAATAGCAGATTTGCATACTGTTTAGAAGAAAGTCAACAAACAACAGAAGCCTGACATTTACAACACAAAGGAGAAGTGAATGGTTTCTAAGCTTCAGATCATACCTCTTGCATGCTTTCTCAGATTGCTGAAAAGCTTTTTCTATTGTTCAAGGCATTTTTTGTATTAATCATCACCAGGTTTGACTGGTCTTTCTGGAAGTAGAGTATCTCAAAATACAATGGTTTGGAGATATTTGACCTTCATAGAAACAAGTACAGAGATATCAGTCTTAAATTCACTTCCCAGAATAAATCACTTCCACGGTGGAAACAATAGTTTCCCCCCCCCCCCCCCCCCCTCTTTTTTCCCCACCCCTCACACATTATAAAAAAAAAAATCTACTTTATAGATGGTAGAACCTGTTTCTGTTAGTCATTTAAGAGGGAAAAAAAAAATAATATCTATTACCTCTTTGATCATTATTGTGACTGTTGTTTATCTTGAAATTTTCAAAGAAGGTTACCTTCTCGCCAACTGCAACTAACACTGTTTTCCATGCCATTAGCCAAAGAAGATGTCATGTCTCTCAAAGAAGCAGAAAAACAAACCAACCTTGCACCTATTTAGTGTTTTGATATGGTATACAACGTTAAGGAAAATTATAAAACATTTTCAGGTAAGCAAGAGCCAGATCCAACTCTTATTAACATAGATCAGAAAACTCCCATTGGTAGCAATTGATTTTGGATTAGACCAAGAACAAGTTCAGAATGCAATAAAGTATCAAGAGCCAACCTTGATGCTATTTCCTAACTACTTCAAGATGGAAAATAAATAGATGAATCTTTGAAAAAAAAAAAATTTCTACCATGGAACATTTGATTAAATTATGGGTTTGCATAAAAAGGAGTTCAATGCCATCCAATGCATAGACCTTTCTGTAGAAAATAATTATAGTTTGTTGTTTGCAGTCATGTCTTTAGTATCAGTAAAATTAATGCTTAAAAACTGAAAGTAGAACTGGTATTTGGGGAATGATTTTAAACTAAGACAGGGAGGTTTAGGTTAGATATTAGGAGGAACTTTTTCCACACAGAGGGTGGTGACACACTGGAACAAGTTGCCCAAGGAGGTTGAATCCCTGAAGGCATTCAAAGCCAGGTTGGATGTGGCTCTGGGCAGCCTGGTCTGTACGCAGCAGAGGGGTTGAAGCTAGATGAACATCATGGTCCTTTTCAATCCAGGCCATTCTATGATTCTATGAATCTATATTTTCCATGAAGTATGGTGAAAACACTTCAATACCAAACAATTCAAGGAACACATATTTGCTCTAGAAATTACTTGGGCTTTCAATATTGATTACTTTTACAACAGTACTCTTAAATGTTACAGTAATAGAAACACAGCTGTTAAAGTTTCACAAAACTCAATTTCTTCTGCATAGAAAATCTGACATCCAAATATGGATCATTTCTCTCAAAACAGAGAGAAATTAACATTTTCATGTGGTGAAATATTTTTAAAAACAATATTTAACAAACAATAATATTCTGGAGTCCCTAAAATTGAAAAAAACAAACAAACAAAAAAAAACACACATCTTGATTCAAATACTTCATACCCGAATACTTCAGTTTGATTCTCTTTTTTTTTTTTTTTCCCACTATATATTTTTTCTGTAAGAAATAAAGTTTGGGAGTTTAATGCCCTTACATTCTTAAAACATAACCAAGATCAAAGCACACATACAGAGAGAATTGATTTAAATAATCTTGTTTAAATAAAGTACTTATCGTGAAATATTTCATTTTTTTTCTTATAAAAGTTCATGTTAAAATGGAAAGCAACCTACGTGTTGAAAATCTTCATTGAAAAATTTATTCCAATAGAAAATTTTATCTGCATGAAGTAAAAATTACTTGAATTCCTAATTGTTAAGCTAAATTATGCAATATACTTTTTGTGAATTAGATTTCTAGAACAAGACACTGGAAATTCAGACCTTCTACTGGCCTCTCAGATACTTCAAGTGAGCTACTTTTTCTATTTGATTCAGTATATTTGCTTTAATGAAATATTTTCTATAATTATTTAGAATTTCAGATGTAAAACAGATGTGTTACAATTGAGGTATTATTATCTAGTTAGGTCTATGTGACACACATACTTTGGTTTCTATGATGGAATTTATTAATTTTTAAAATCTTACTGAATAATAGATTGTTGCTACTGAGAGCATTAAAAATATGCACATTTGCTTCAAGCAGTGTTGCTTAACATTTGACAAGATTCTTTCAACTAACTGAAAAGATTGCTTTAAAATAAAAGAGAGAGAGAGAGAGAGAGAGAGAGAGAGAGAGAGAGAGAGAGAGAGAGAGAGAGAGAGAGAGAGAGAGAGAGAGAAAGAAAGAAAGAAATACCAGTATGAGTGAACTACAATCACCCTTTGGACTCAGTGTTCACAGTACGATCCTCTCTATCAGTCTACAAGTAGCATATCTAAGTGCAATCTGCTTCTTTGGAGTCAGGCTGTGCTTTGAACATCTGACTCCCTTTTTAGGTTCACTGCCTACCAAAATAGTCTATTTTCTCTGGGAAACACTATCAACAGCTTGTTGATTACTTTCAAGAAATTCATGAGGACATTAACAGTTTACAAAATAAATAAATAAAAATAAAATAAAAGCAACACCACAACTCCTTGCATGCTCTTTGGGAAATATCTATGAAGTAGTACTTTCACAACAGTTTTCTCTCAAATCACAACATCCCCATAGCACCAGACAAATAGGTCCATAACAATTTCTGAAATCCTTTCTTTCATATTATACCTCTCTCAACTGATAAATTAGTTTTTCAAAATACAGAAAAATAAAAAACAGAATTCGATAAAATAAGAGCTTTATTCTGCTTCATGCAAACTAAATCTCAAGGGCCAGTTTCACAATTTCTCTTGTAACATAATTTTCAATTGTACAAATCTACAGAATCAGTTACTACACAGAACACGAAATAATACAGTTACAGAAATTATACATAAATATTAAAAAAAAAAATGGAGCAGCTATAGTAAAAGAATTGAAGAAGAATATTTCCAGTCTACACAAAGGGGCACCCCAGCCAAAAAAAGACTCCTGTACAATTAGCAAATGTGCAGTTAGAAAAGTGGTGTGGTTAGGATGATATTTTACAGGTTTATAGTTATGAAGATTAACATGGTGGAAATAGACAACCAAAAATGAAATGCTCACCTGTGTCTTAGGCTTACAGTAGAAAACTCTAAAAGGAGGGATCTTCAGAAAGAGATCCTTCCCAGCAGCAGCCAGCCCTGAAATGGGGTTTAGTAGAGATGGAGCCAGGCTCCACCCTTTTCAGTAACACAGCTGAATTGCCTTCACCTGTGTTCCCACAGCTGACTCAGTCCTTGCCTCAGGTGATCAATCAGTAGTTCAGGCCATGACTCAATAGTTCCCATACAGCTCCTAACCAAAAAGCGTTCCAGAAGTCTTGTTAATTCGTGTGTACAATGTTTGATTTGAAGCAAAACACAGAGGTTCCTTGAGATGCTGTGAACTCATTCCAAATCCTACCTACTATGGATTGCTCAAACACATTCTGGTCTGACAGGAAAAATAAAAGCAAAATTAAGAAACTAAGTAGGGAAAATACAGATAAGATTGCTTCTGACAGATGTTTCATATCCTCCCACACTTGATAAGACTCACAATAAATGAAAATGCGGACAGTCGCTCATAATCTGTACATGCACTACTCCAGATAGAAGACAGACATTTCTGTCTATCTCAGACGTTTACAGACATATGATTCAGGAAAGAACTGAGTTACATATTTCTTCTCTTGTTCTGGATGCAATGAACCATACAGAATTCCTGAATTAAACATTTTTCAATCAAAAATCTTAAAAATCCCTATACATTAATACTTTGAAAGTAATCTTTACAAACATAGACCTAAAAATATCATAAAAAGGCAGAGAGTAATGATTTGGGGTTACCAACTAAAGCCCTTACGTGACTGCTCTCCAGAGGCAGAGTTATGATCTGGATTTTAGTGCTCTCAAAATTAGAAAAGGCAGGAAACCATAAAGAGTGAATCTTTAAAAACATCCATGTATAGCTACACTTCCCTTTGGGATTCAATTACAGGTCCAAGCATCACACTGAAAACAAATTTATAACTTATAAATAATAATAAGAGAATTATTGCATTTTTCCCCAGATGTTAGTCAGTCTGAATTATGAAATTATTACTACGAAAATTGTGAGATCATGTTAACCTCATTGAAATAGTATTTTATTTTTTCTGCTATTTTAAACTCAAAGATCTGTCAAATTGTTCATTCAAAATCTTACCCAGCATCCCTCTGAAACAAACTTGCTGTAGTATAAGGAATGTATTACAAGAATATTAGTATGGAGAAATGAAAGCATCAGCACTATGATCAAGTGGATTCTACAGGATGTAGAAATGTCTTTGATAGTTCAGAGCATTTTAAAAAGGATTCAATGGAAAAGACACATTAGGTTAACAGAGTTATGGAAAATCAGAGGATAAAAGCAAACCCCTATATAAATACAGCAGATCCTTTTGCTATCATATGCCGAAAAGTATTTGCAGAGTCTGGAGCATGAAGTGTATGTCACTGCACTCAAACAATGAGAAGATAATGTGCAAGTCTAAGGTCTACCAGTCCTTGAACAATCTCAGTTTTGGGCATGCAGCCCTAAAACAGGATTCAGTCTTGCACATTTGCTATGAAAAAAATAAAATCATCAAATGAAAACTACTTCAAAACTCAAAACAGATAAATAAGTAGATAAATATTCAATCTAAATCTGAACAGTGAACTGAGATATTTAAGGACAATTCTTGCCATGCACATAAGGTAATCAGCTGTAGTGGATTTTTTTTTAGGTTTTCTTTTTTTCTTTTTTCAGATTAACTTCTGCTCACAGAAGAAATTAATTCATATATCCCGTGCAAATATCTGTTTCCCTTCATGGTCTTTTAGCATATTCACCATAGAGCAGAGGTCAGCACCGCCCCTTTTGCTCCTCTCATTGTGTCACAATGTCTCAGGTGTGTGTCACCTCCCCTCAGCCTTCTCTGCTCCCGGTTGAGCAAACCCAGGGGGCTCAGCTGCTTCTCATATAACTCATACAACAGTCATAGTCCTTTGGACACTCCCTATAGTTTTTTATCCTTCCCACATAGCATGCAAAGAACATATGGTAAGAGGTGATGTGACACAGCACAGAGCGGGAAAACCCCTCTTACCTCCCAGCTGGCAGTGTTGGCCCAATGCACCCCAGGGTACTGCTAGCCCTTTGGTCTGCCAGGGCATACTGACTTAAATGCAACCCGGCTTCATCCAGAACATCCATATTCCATTCCATGTATGTAGATTAAGATTCACCCCATTCCAGGTGCAGAATCCAGCATTTGCCCTTGTTAAACTTCATATGGCTGGTCATTGCCCAGCCCTTTAATTTGTCAAGATCTCTCCGTAAGATTTCTCTTCTCTAGACAGTCAATAGGACTGCAACATCATTGCTCCAGTTTACTTTTTACTCCAGTTTACTTTTTACAGAAAGTAACACTGCCATTAATTACAGTAATCTGTGTAATGCCTTACTCAGTCTCTGTATATGTCACAGAAAACAATATATAAAATAACAACCAGATAGACTAAATCAAATGCCGCTGATCCTGGTTAAGTGGTTACTATCTCCCTTTTTGGTATATGTATTTCAAGTTCTGTTCTTTTTCCAGAGTATTCTCCATCTTGCTTCATGTTCCAACTGAAGGAACAGGCATTGTTTAGTCTGGAGAAGAAGAGGCTGAGGGGAAACCTCATTACTCTCTATAGTTACCTGAAAGGAGGTAACAGCAAGTGATTTTGGTCTCTTTTCTAGGTGAAAAGTTGCACCAGCGGGGGTTTAGATAGTATGTTCGGAAGAACTTCTGCACAGAGAGGGCAGTTAGACATTTCAAGGCTTGCTAAGGCAGGTGGTGAGGCTGGCATTCCTGGAAGTGTTTTAAAGATGTGCTGCTGTGGCAATAAGGGAAGTAGTTTAGTGACTGGACATAAGAGGTCAGGTTAATGGCTGGACTTGATGATCTCAAATGTCTTTTCCTAGATGATTCTATGATTCTGTCAGTATGAAATTAAAGCCAAACCCTGACGGATCTTTTGTGCAAAGTGCAATGCGAATATATGCAAACACTTCAGATTTTAGTGAGTGAAGTAAATGGAGTTTATTCAATACTATCATTAAAAAATAATTATCGTCAATTAATTTTCTGAATAGAACTGCTCCTTAGAATACTAAGAGAATTTCAAAGCACTTTTTCTTTCTTTTGATTAATCAAAAAAGATATATTACTGAGATAAAAATGCATCTTTGAGAAATTTGTACATGGCTTCTGGCTTAAATGGAAAAATGTATTTTTTTATATGATACCAATTGAAACAGCAGATTTAAGTTTATACATTAATATAGTTAGTATATTTTTACCTGCAAATCCCTAACATGTGTCTCAGGATTAAATAAAATACACTGTTTTGCAGGAGCTATTGGGAATAGGTGAACGGTTGGACTGGATGATCTTTTAGGTCTTTTCCAACCTTGGTGATTCTATGATTCTATGATTCTATGAAATTTATACATGCTGCTGAATATAATATGCTCCTCTCTGCACCTTTTTAAACAGGAATATAGCCAGAGGAACTAATTGTCCTCTAGGCCTTTCAAATAGGGCTGTTTGTGTGCATGACTTTGAAGGGAAATTTTTTTTCTGCACATTCATGTTGAGTGGTTAGATAGTGAAATGGTAGAAAAAAAAAAAATGAGTTGAGGAGCACAACATTGTGATGTGTAAGTGGAATTTATTTCACTGGGGAAATGGGTAGCAGCAATTACTCACATGTCAGTCTTGTAAGATAGATTGCATTATTTGTACACTCCAAACAATATTTATCTCACTACTATATTTAAAAGCCTAGTTTA